GACTTGTTCAGTGGTATTTCAGCGTGCTGGTTTTTGCTCAGGATGATCAATATCCCATCAGAGGAAAAGTCTTCGGGTCCTTCCACACAGCCGTATAACCCAGAATATCAAAGCAGAAAATCCCACAATATCTGCTTTGAACTGGGTTATCTGGGTCCACACTGCCATATATTCCAGTTCAAAGCAGAACATGTGGTATTTTATTCAGCTGTGTGGAAAGGGCCTTATCTGCTCTGTATTTCCTTCTTTGAGAAGTTTTATCCATTATATAAACCAGAGGTCCTCAAACTAAGGCCCGGGGGCCAGACACGGCCCTCCAAGGTCATTTACCCGGCCCTTGCTCAGGGTCAATTAAGTCTGAAATGCCTTGAAAGCACACAACAACAATCTTATCTCAGCAAAAAGCAGGCCCACACTTCCCATTGAAATACTAAAAAGTTTATATTTGTAAAAATTGTTCTTCATTTTAATTACTGTATTGTTTTTACGTGTTTTTAACAGTACAAATAAGATATGTGCAGTGTTCGTAGGATTTTTTTTTCAAATTATAATCCAGTCTTCCAACAGTTTGAGGGACTGTGACCTGGCCCTCTGTTTAAAAAGTTTGAGGACCCCTGATATAAACATAACATCCAGTTCTTCTTTCCAAAACATCACAGTATTGTTGCCTTTCAAATAGGACTCAGTTGAGGAGGTCACTTTTTGGGACATACTGGCTTTAGCTGTAGTACCAAAAAGTGTATTTTCTAAGCACTGGGTTCTTAGCATCCTCATCAAACTACACTTCTGATTTTATCGGACAGATAATACCTTACTCTTCCTTTTATAAAAGATACTTGCAAACTTGGGAGTCTGTTCTTTACCTTTGTCATTTTCCTTATTTCAGTAACTTTTGGCAAGAGCTTTATTTTTGTCAGTCACTCCAACTTGTTGATTTATGGTTGACGAGGCGATAAAACTGGTCCGACACACAGTCATAAAACAATAAACCAATAAATCTACTATATAACCCAAAATATAGAAACTGACACAACTTCTCTTCTGTCTTTGTTTTTGGAGAGGTGTCTAGCATTGTATTGTCAAAGGCTTTCATGGCCGGAATCACTGGATTGTTGTAGGTTTTTTCGGGCTATGTGGCCATGGTCTAGAGGCATTCTCTCCTGACGTCCGCCAAGGCTTTAAAGTTGCTTCTTTTTTGACTTGGGTGATGGTTGGAGTTTTTATGTAGATCTCTATCTGTGTGTGTGGGTTTTCTGTAAAAGGTGTGACCCAATTGTTGATCTGGTTTGCGGATGACTAGGACATCTAGAAAAGGCAGTCTTCCTTCATTTTCTTTTCAGCTAATCAAGGTGGTCAGTTGAAACATTCACACCTAGCTCCAGCAGACAAGAGTCCCTTGTCTCACCCTGGTCATTCCACCGATATATAAACCCTTTTTCATAGTTCCAACAGACCTCGCTACCTCTGAGGATGCTTGCCATCAATGCAGGCGAAACGTCAGGAGGGAATGCCTCTAGGCCATGGCCATATAACCCGAAAAAACCTACAACAACCCATTGTCTATCATTGTAAGGAAGCATGGCGGCCCAACTATGTAAATGCCAGGATTATTGTCCTGTGTTGTGTTACCAGAATATAAAACTTATTTTTGATTCTATTGTGTTACTATAGATTCTATTACTATTTGATTCTATTGTGTTACTATAGAAAGTGAGGCAACTGAAAGTATTTCTTCAAAAAATGACTATTTTTCTTTAATATGGTGTGTATATGTTCAGAGGGTGTTCAAGAATAAACTTAATTTCAGCCCTCGATGTGAAGAGCGTTAGAGATGTATTTCTAACGCTGACACTAATTTCAATACCAATGGAGACCAGTTAGTTGTCATGTTGGTTCAGAATGGATTGAATTAATTTGAAATCCATTCAGTTATTGGTATTCCAGAAAGGCTGGAGGAGGCAAAGAAAATGAGAACTTAAAAGATGAGATTGTTTGGAAAGTTCTAGCACAGATCTAAAAGAATATATCCTCTTTGTGATATATTCTCTTTACAGAAGGATAGAGCTAGAATGGAGAGATGAGCTGCGACGAGCAGGCATGAATTCAAAAATCGTCATGGATGGAAAATGTAGTTTACTCTGCCCTCGAAACAGATACTACATTTACATAAATTTCACTAATTTCAGTAAGTGATCATAAACTAGTAAAAACTCTTGAGAAATGCCACATTCAAGTCACAATCATATTACCACCAACAGTATAATTCTAAATTGTGAGAGGTGACTTCAGTGTGCAGAGATCCAGAGCTGGCCTATGGCAGCTGTAAATCAGCTATTAGAAAGTCAACGACTTCATCAGTGGGTTTGCAAAAGCACAAATCAAAGAAAACAAATCATTTTGGCAGCTCTTTTTGGCTTATTCTCCTGTAGCTGGAGAAAAGGAAAATGAGCAGAGCCTCCACTTTCCAGCATCAGTGTGTTCGTACAGCTCTTCATGATTTATTAATCAGTAACTTGTTTGGCACGATTCAGTTTAAGAGCACTGTTTTCCTAAGGGGACGGTCAGCCATTTCCGTGGTGAGGTAGGATGTCGGTCCAAGGAACGGACGGAGCATCGGCTAATCCGCTGGCCATCAGTGCCCCCCTTTCTGCAAGACCTGCGCAAAGCGGTTGGTGACGGCGAGCGTGGTGTCGATGAAGCGGTTGACGCAGTTGGCCAGGCAGCTCTCTGTCCGGGAGTCCAGCTTAGAACCCGGCTTGTCCACACATTTCTCCCAACAGACCTCCATGAAGTTGTGAACCTAGAGACGCAGGGGGAAGCCATACAGATGTTATCACGGGGGTCCTTCAGGCAGGAGGACTCGGCCTCGGGGGCAACGTCTCACAACCTTGGCCTTGGCACACCTTCCTCCAAGTATTGGATTAAATAAAAGGAGGGCAAGGAAGGTGTTTGCTGGGCGTTGACTCCGAGGGCCCTTCCACACAGCCATATAACGCAGATTATCAAGGCAGAAAATCCCACAATATCTGTTTTGAACTGGGTTATCTGTGTTCACGCTGCCATATATTCCAGTTCAAAGCAGAAAATGTGGAATTTTATTCAGCTATGTGGAAAGCGCCTGAGATTAAATGACCTCTTTTTCCTTTCCCTCATGCTATCCCCCTCTTCTTCCCCCTTTTTTCTTCTTTCTCTTCCCTTCTTTCATTCTTTTCCCCTCCTTCCCATGTTATCACCCTCTTCTTTCTTTTTTACTTCCCTTCTTTCCCTCACACCTTTCCCCCTTTTCCTTCCTTTCCATCATGCTACTCCTCTTCCCTCTTTCTCTTTCCTTCCTTTCCATCATGCTATCCCCTTCTTCTTCCTTTCCCCTCCTTCCCTCTCTCCTTTCTCTTCCCTTCTATCATTCTCTTTTTTCCTTCCTTCCCATCATGCTATCTTCTTCCTTCTTCCCTCTCTCCTTTCCTTTCCAATCTTTTCTTCTCCCTTTCCCCATTCCTTCCCATCATACTATTCCTCTCTTCTTCCTTTCCTTTTCCCTTCCTTCCTATCACGCTATCCCCCTCTTCTTCCCTCTCTCCTTTCTTTTTCCTTCCTTCCCATCATGCTATCACTCCCCTCATTCTTTTCCCCTTCTCTCCTCTTTCTCTTCCCTTCCTTCCTTTCCATCATGCCACCCCCTCTTCTTTCTTCCCTTTTCTCCTCCTTCTCTCCTTTCTCTTCCCTTCTATCATTTCCTTTTTCCTTCTTCCTTCATGCTATCTCTCCTTTTTCTCCCCTCTCCTTTCTCTTTCATTCTTTCCTCCTTTCCTTCCTTTCCATCATGCCACCCCTTCTTTTTCTTTCCCCTTTCTCCTCCATTCTATCATTCTCTTTTTC